GCGGTGCGGGCGGGAACTAGAGGAAGTTGTGAGCGGCGGCTGCGTCCTCTGCGCTCCGCGGCCTGGTCTCCCCGTCAACTTGTCTGTCTCCGCCGCGCCCGCGCCGCCCCTGCCGGGCTCCCGCGGCTGGCGGGTGGGTGAGTAGCCGCCCGCGTCCCGCCCCGGCGTCGAGCCCTGCGCCCTCGTGGGGTCTGCGCGGAGGTGCAAGTTCAGGAGTCCCCGCCGCCGTCCCAGCCCTCCCAGGCGGGTCCCGGACGCCCGCGCCCTGGGGTGGGAGCCCGACGACGGGAGGGGACGCGCGGCCGCAAGGGGCCACCCCGCCCCCTCCCGCCGGGCCCCTCGGGTCCCGCGGCCCACACGCCGCCGCAGCTTCGCCCCTGAGAGCCCGCGCGCGGCTCCGTGCTTCCCGCCCTCCGCCCGGCGGGGTCCCGGAGGGGAGGGCCTTTGTCGTCTCCTCCCCCCGTGAGCCTCGGGTTTGGCGGGCGGTCTCTGGGGCCTGGGCCGGGGCGTAGGGAGGGGCGGTGAGGACTTAGCCAGCCGGCGGGTCCGTGGACGGTTGGTTGTTACACGGGGGCTGCCGGGTCCAGCTCCTGAGATGAGAAAACACACGAGAAGGGACGGCCTCAGGTCACACACCTGTTCAGCGCCACATCTGGAACCCAAATCCAGACGCAGACCTTGGACTCTGGTCTAGGGCACTTTCCCCGACACCTCCTTACACCTGCCTCGGTGTGGCTAGAGTGCATCTGTTAGAAATTATGTGCAAATACTCGCTGGTGGTAGAAATCGGTTTGTTGAATGACTCAGTGACCCCAGGGAACCCTTGGGGAGCCTTGAAACCCTCAGCCACCAAGTGGCTGGGCTAGCAGGGGTTCATTTATTTGTTCATCCAACAAATAGGAATGAGCAGTCAGTCCTGAGATTATGGTGGGACAGTGGTGGTGGCGGTGAGGGATGGGCTTGAGGAACACAGCTAAGGCTTTCTGAGATTGGAGTGGTCTTCATCTGGTGGGCCTGGGAGTCGGTGAGGACAGGGCCCAGCACAGGGCGCCCCCACCTTTTCAGGCAGCTGCCTGATTCCACCCCAAGCTTGCCTGCCTTTCCTGCAAGTCTTATCTGCTCCCTCAAGCCTCGCTCAGTGGCATCTCAGTGGCCTTTCTATGCAAGGGAGCTGCGGGAGCTGCAGAAGGATGTGGTTTTTCCACATTCCATCTCCACCCATCTGGGGCACATGGCTTGCCCAGGGAAGCTCTGAGGGTGGGCAGGCTCTCCGGGGCCTGGTCTGTACCATCATGGTGCAGACCCTGAGCCAGGGCCCCACTGGGAGTCATTGATGACTTCTTGGAAGAGAATCTGCTGTGGGAGCTGGGAGGAAAGAGGGCGGAGGAATCCTCTCCTTTTAAAAGTTTAGGTGGGCAGACCTCTAGTGAGACCTCATTGGGAAGAGGACACTGCCAAGCCTCTACTTGCCACCCAGAGTATGTGCTCTCCTGTCCCTCCTGCCTGGGGAGGGAAGAGGTGCAGGGCCAGCACCGGCAGGCCTCGTGCAGCCCTTCATCGCTGGGTTGAAAGGCAGGCGTCTCATGGGCTTCCTTGAGCACCTGGGGTGTCTGTGCTGTGCTGGGCACAGGGGCTTCCTGAGGGACAGGGTGCTGTCTCGTGAGAGTGGAGGCGTGAGAATGGCAGCTGTGACGTGTTGGGATGCAGGCTTCAGTAGTGTTTGGTGCAAAGAGCTGTGGGAACATGGGGTGGGTTGCTGTCTAAGGAGGTTAGGCTATCTGAGGTGGACTCTGAAGGATGCACAGGAGCTTGCCAATAGAGAAGTTGGGAAAGTGCACTGAGGGCTGCACAGGGAATGCTGGGGGAGGGGTACCCAGGTGGGAAAGGAGTGTACCTAGTTGGGAAGGGGCCTTGCATGCCCTGCTCCGAGGCCTTGCCCAGGAAAGCTCACAGCCTTAGCTGACCTGGGGAGACTAATTGGAGGAACTGGAGGTTCCACTCATTTGCAAGTGAGAATAGCCTGTCTAGGAGCCCTGCCAGGCCCCTGGACTCAGAAGGAGGGATGAGGGCATCGGAGGAGGATGGGTTTTGGATGACAGAGCCTTCCAGGGCAGGAGTCTTGGCCTCACAGAAGGGCAGCGAACGATATTGCAGCTGTTCTCTTTCAGAGTGGAGGACGGGGCACTGGGACAGGAGGTTGTAACACTGTCGGTTTTCAAGGCCGAGCAGCCATCCTGATCAAGGACTGTGTGCGTCTTGGTGGTGGTACCCGGGATGCTGGCTCTGTCCTGTTAGCCCATGAGAATCCTCCCCCTAGAGCTGTGGCCACTGCACGTGCTTTCTGTGGTTATGCCTCTGGTGACCATTTGCCAGGCTTGGGCTGTGGAGTGCCCTGGCTGCCAGCTGTCCACCCCACTGGGCCTCCCACACATAGGATCTGATTAGCAGCACCTTGGCTGCCACACCTCATTGGGCACCCCAGATGCCACACAGATCCTTGCCCAAAGCTCCTGACAGGTCTGAAAAAGACAGCTGCTTGAGGGTGGTGACGGTCAGCCGTAACAGTCGAGCTCACTGTGTGCCAGATACACACGGAGAGAACTTCATGTGTATTAGTTAGCTCATTTGGACATCACAGTAATCATAGACTAGGTCCCCATTCTTCAGATGGGGAAACTGAGGCATAGAGAGGTTAAGTAACTTGTCCAGGGTCACAACCAAGAGTCAGACTCCAGAGTCCCAGCCCTAACCATTATCCTACACTACCTGGATTTCCAGGCCTCTCGCTGCCCCATTTCCCAGATGCGGCCGGCCCATCCGCCTCTGCAACCCCGCACCTGTTAGACAGCAAAGTGGCAGGATCAGAGAGCTCAACCATGGCCTTTCTGCCGATTCCCAGCCCTTGTAGGCAGCCAGGCGACGAGGAGGCTAGTGATGTGTGTGGGAGAGGGTGCAGCTTCAGGGGGCAGTGCCATGGAACCTCTCGGTGGGATTTTTCCCCAAGAACCATCCCCTGCAGGCTCCCCAGCCCCCCACCCCTGACTCAGCCCTTTTTCCCTCCTTCCCCTCCTCTTCCTGCCTGGGCTGATCAAAATGGGGAAGTTTCAAATGAAAGGCCAACACATCATCTGGATGAACCACAAAACAACCATTTCTGGAGTTCTGCCTTGCAAATCGAGTTCTTTGTTGGCTTTTGGGTATTTGTGTCCAGGGTCCTAGAAGCCATCAACTTAGAAAATGAGGAAGTGGTTTGTTTTAAATTACCTCTCCCCTCAGTAATCCCATCAGCTTGGCGGTGGTGGAGGTGGGCACTCAGAGGTGGGGCTTTAAAGGGGGAATGGCTTTAAAGACTCAGCACCTGCTGAGTCTAGACTGGGCTTAAAAGGGGGCTGGTGACCTTCAGGCACACACAGGAACTGCACTGCCACTGCCCTGGGGGCCCGGGAGGCATATGCCCCAGTGGAAGGGTGGGCAGGCCCAGGAGTGGGGCTGCCACCACGCGGAGGGAGGTGTCAGGGCCTGGACAGGATCCCCAGCCTGCAGTTACCAAGCTCCTGCCATGCTGATGGCTGTGCTGACCGGTGGGGCAGGTCAGCGTTGACCTTATGTGCTTAACAAAACTCTTTCTTCAGAGGAAGGGAAGTGCTGTGGCCTGGGGCAGGGGCAGGCCTGTCTTTGGTGTTCCAAATGCAGTGTGGGGGTGGCAGATCCAACTTGCTGCATCTCCCGGTGCTGGTCCCCTGTGGTCCCTTGGCCCTAAGTTTTTTTCTGAGGCCTGGGGTAAGTGTTGCTGTACTTCTGTTAGTGGGCATCTCTGCCCCCGTGTTTGGTTTAACTTACATAACTGTATATCTAATTCTCATGTGAACTCTGTGAAGTTCTGCAGATGTGAAACATCGACAGTGGGGGTGTTTCTCACATCTTAGCTCATGTCTGGACTAGGGTTCAGGTGGCCGCAGCCCGGGTCCAGGACTGGGCCACGACCCGGGCTCCTGCTCAGATCTCCACCCCCGCCCCCCATACACAGAGTGAAGGGTAAGACATCTGAGTGCCATGGCATGTTGGGCGCCCTCCCTGTTGTCTCGTCTGATCCCATGAGTCAGGGGGTGTCCCTTTTTACAGATGGGGAAAGCGAAAGCACGGGGAGGTCCAGAGCCACGTCCGACCCTCCACCTGTCCACCTTCAGAGGATGCCCTGGGGACTAGGGGTGCATGGACCTCTTAGAATGCTGCTGGGCCCTGGAGACTTATTTTCTGGGATTTAGATCTGTTTCTCCAGGGAGAGCCAGCTAAAAGTCAGAGCTGGGGGACTGGAGTTTAGTTAGGGGCTGGGGGCAGCAGGAGAACAGCACGGGGGTGGGGAGTCAGTGGCAGGGAGGTGAGATGGGGGAAGGGGTGGCGGGGGGGTGGAGACGGGGCTGAGGCATGAGGGCACCTGGCAGTAAGTGCAGGAGGGTGACCTGGAGCCCAGTAACTCTGGTCCCAGGAGAATAAAACCAGGCCTGAGCATTAGCTCACCAGCAGCCCCTCAGCATTAGCAGTAGTTCCTATTAAAGGAGTCGCCATCTGGGAAGTCAGATCTGTGTCAGAAGGGGCTGAGAGAGGCTCCCACATCAGCAGGCATCTCCTGGGGTTGGGAAGGAGGAGGCCACGTGTGGGGTTCACTTGGGGGAACCCTGAGCTTTGGGTGCTGACTTCGTGGGGGGTCACCACGTTTGGGACTGCCCCCCACTTCTGGGCCCAGCTGCCTCTGTGTGTCGTGGCAGGGGTGGGTGGGGGGTGAGGGGGAATAGAGGGACCACAGCCAGGCTCAGCGCCACCGGGGGACGGTGGAATCCAGGCTGGCCCTGCTGTGGTTGAGATGATAAACTGTTGTTGACTGGAACCTCCAGGAACTTTCTAGCAGGCATTTCCTCACTCTGCCCCGGAGAGGGTGGATGTGGGGCTGTGAGTCTGGGGGGTTGGCCCTGGGGGCAGGGGCCTGAGACTGGGGGATAGCTCAGCCTTGAGGAGGATGCCTCTCTACAGCCACCACACCTGCCTAGCCTGGCGAATGTCTCCATTCCTTTGTTACACCCTAACTCTGAGACCACCTGGCCCCCAGGTGTCCACCACTTCTCAAAAGACCTTGTTTTCT